ATTTAATCCTCGCACTTTTTATATATCCACTAAAATATTCCCTCCAAAAAGCCTTTTTTGTCATTTATACGGAATRTAAGTATAGTAGTTGTGCTGTTTGAAAGAAACAACGTATTTTAGGGAATATTTTTGGGRAAAAAGGAGGAATGCAACGTTTCCCATCATGCTTTGTTGTAAAAAATGGTGAYGCTGCACTTCATGTAAGACCCCCTATTATAGAAATGTTACTAGTAATATTACCAATTACATAAAGCCACTGAGGCGCTGCACATTGTATATTTCTGACACTAGACGGTGCTACYATATTTCCTTATTTTCGTTACTCACACATCATCGTTTCGTTACAGAAATGAACGTTTTTCGTCAAAAAGCCGAAGCTGTGGTGGTCGGTGGTCACGTGTACGTTGCTGGAGGGCAAGATTTCTACGGCAAACGATATTTAGATAGCATAGAACGATATGATCCGTCAAAAGACGAATGGACTATTGTTGCTGAGCTACCCATTCATAAGAAAGGGTTTAAATGCGTCGTTATACAKATTTCTAAAGACTTTCTTGAACCTTTTCCATCAAAAGAGACGTCTTCTTCTTGACGTATAGTTTTAGGCTCCGTGGCCAAAGTTCTAAAAGGATAGTGGGTTGGACTAGATGAGGAGAAAATTTTAGTACAGTTACTTTATCGTCTCTCTTACTTTCCCATTCAGTTTGTCACARTCTTAGCAAGAGGGGAGGGGAGGGGGAATAGCCAGTCTTTTCTCTCCTTTTYAATATTTCTAATAGAGGGTTCGATTATTTTGCACCTCGTTTTCTACTGTCATTTTTAACTCCGCAAAGAATTGCGAGAGATATTGTTTAAAAGCATGCGCTCTAAACGCGATCATGCGCCGTCATTTTTAGAGTGACATTTTATTTACCAAATTCTTTTTCCGTTTCGAGTCAAATTGTTTATATGGAAAAGAGAGATAAAAAATGACAAATGAATAAAAAATGATCAACATCTGTTGTTATTTTTGCTGCATCAATGAAACATGGCAAAGTTTTCTGTAGGGGAGKGGGGAGGGGCAACTGATATACAAAAATCTGTGATACAAATATAGAAAAATCGAGATCCAATATTGAGGTCTTCATCATGTCTTTTATGGGTGTTTTTACTTCAGTGGACGTCATAAATTGCATCGTTTAGAGTAAAAGTTCGCTCTCCCAGAACTAATGAYTTTCAATGAATATTCATCATTGTTTAAAACCGCTTGAGCGTGAAGCCGCTGAACAGAGCACTCGAACGAAAATTCCAGTCGCTTGTCGCTTTGTGGTTTTGTGTTCTGTGTTTTTTATCGAATTCARGACAAAAAGCGAAGAATAACGCTGACAAGGTAAGTTTTTATAGAAAAATGCCTCTCTTGTCATTACTYGATGAGCGTATTCGTGCATTTGTGGKCTTAAATAATTCGACAAAATACGAGGACGCTTTGCGAAGAAMTCGACGGAGCACGAACGATTCGATGACAATTTCTGTTGCTAGTTGTCATCTGTTCGGCAGCAAATAGCCATTCTCTCGTAATTATCTCTTTGCTGTTTAATTTTCATATGTAATTTGCATCCCGAATTTATAGAAAAGCGAAAAATGTCAGCGTTTCCAGCTGAAAATGAAGCAAACTCGCAGCTACAATCTGCACAATCTACAAACATTCCCAAATATTCAACGCTATTCCGAATGTAAACAATGAAATCTTCACTGTATGAAATATACGCWGGCTCTATTATTAGTCGTATGTTTTATTCAAGTGATATTTTTTTTCCAGGTGAAAAAATGGCCAGAGATAGAGGTTATGGCTGTTGGCCGGGATTTTTTATAACATTCGAGGGTTTTCTAAAGATTCTTGAGTTTGTAAGTACATGTACTGATCTAGTTAAGCTATGTTTCACTATCAATTAAAAATATAACCTTCCAAGCACTTCTCAATTTCAATCACTTTAGATCACTATGAGAACAGCTGATTTCAACCAGTGGCCTTTCTTTCATTATAAAGCTTACAGTAATCTAAAATATGTGTTCGCCGCACCCTGTTGAACTTGAAAACAACAAGCTATCAAACTTTTCTAGGTATTATTTTTTGACATGAAGTTCAGGGTTTTTTTCAGCTACTTCTTTAGTGTCAACCTCAGCTTTATTGGTATAGTTTGGGGTATTTGTATGCAATGCTATAAATATTGATCATGAAACGTCCCATTTTTAAAAACATGAGAAATAGGTACCAAAACATGTATTTTTTATTTTATATTTATATTTTTGAGTTATCAAGTTATAATTACTAGTATATACGAGAATACGTATTTCTCAGTATGGTTATAAATTGTCTAGAAAATCRCACAATCACGCAAGTGTGAAAGTTGATTGRTGGATCTGACAGGTCAGGATAAATTGGCATTTAGATWACTGCCAAATCAARAATCCTCAAATATCGTMTTTGTACATTGATAAAATATTAATGTTTGTATACCACCTACATTATGTTCCAGAGTAGATGCTTTATTTTTGGTGAAATTCTTTCAAAATTGTATTTTTGAAAGCTATTTCTCCAGAACAATGCTAGGCACATTTTCCTGACCTTCTGAGACGATTAAATTATAAATTTTAACCAGTTATTTAGCAGAAAATAATAGTGCTGTTTCGACAGCTGTGGTAGTGTGTGCCATACACAGRCCTGTCTGAAAATCAGGCTACAGTTTAATAGATAGGAAAATGTTCATTGGTTTTATTCCAGCACAGGAAGCCCAATCAATATTCAGTTTAAAAACAAACAAAAAAATATTTCTTTCCAGGTTCTTGGGTTGATTGCTTTTGCACTTGTGCTGGGACATGAAAAAGCAGAACTTTTCTCTCATTATGGATTTTTCATTGTCGTCAGTGCATTATGCTGGATATTTGCACTGATCTTGTTGCTATGGCATTTGTTTGGATGTTGTTATGTCTGTTGTCTTGGAAAATGGCAAAAGGAGTATTCTTTGGTAAGTAACTTTAAGCAATACATGGATTTAATTTAGAGCAGATTTCGTATGAGTGGGACACCGTTACCGCACGGTTACCGCACAGTTACCGGACCTGGCCTGMAMAWTTTTGGTGAACMARTGGGGCACTAGAATTTGGTTACAGTACGGTTACGGTCACAGTACAGTGCCGTCCGTTTCCCACTCATACGAAATCCGCTCTAATGTTACAGTGATGTAAACCATTGACCTTAGACTTACTTGCTGCTCATGTCAACAAATGTCTGCAGCTGAGGTTTTGCCTTGACCAGGTCTAAAGTCCTTCATTACCACAGAAGCTCTATTAAGTTATTGAAGCTATAGTTATTGCTCTAGCTATGTTAATGACATTTTTATGTTGTTTGTTTTTTTCAGTGGATCTTCCTTCTTAGCTATGCTCTGTCTTTCTTTTTCTTCTTCCTCTTTGCATCTGCTTTGCTAGCACAGTGGACGTATGGTATTGCCCAGTTTATTATTGCTACAGTAAGTATGCACTCTTGGGAATCCAACTCCATGCATGTTCTAAACCAAATTCTCACTCTTTGTGCTGTTGCCTTGTAGATCATTGGATTTATCCTGACTATCATCTTCTTCATTGAGATCATCATTTACTATCGCCGTGTCAGAAAGATTCGACTGACTGAAGTAGCATATGARGGAGCTAAGACACGCAATATTTAAACTCTGGTTAAAGAATCAYGATAAGACTGTTTGATCAACAGAAATCTGTTCTGTTGTTTATAGACTGAAGCATTTAAGATAATATAAGAAGCACTTTAATAATAATGCWTTCAATATTGACTGCTGTCAAAGAGCTGAAAAAGCGTACTATGAACATTATAGTTCTCGTTTTTTACTGTTGTTGTCTCCTTAAAGGAGAAAGTAGAGTCTGTCCAAGGCTGAGTGTTATACTAGTATTCTTGGTAAATATTTATGATGTCAGTTGCTAAGGAAACATGAAAGATAAAAATAGTCTAATTGTGGTTACTGGTGAACAGACATCACAACTGTTGTACAATTATTTCTAGTAAGAATAGCTAACAGATTACATGAAAAGATAGCATTTAGTTTGATAAGTATAAATGTAACAGTGTAGTAGCTTTATAGTCTGTGAAAAAAGCCACTGTCAGCTAATAATCTGTTTGATTGTAGTATGATATAATTATTATTTTTATTCAAAATTTCAGTCATCAAACAATTGATTCTCACATAAACAAAACAAAAAATGCCAGCAGTTCCTTTAAAACTTTATATATTGTTATCATCTCTGTAAACTACTCAAGGATTTGTACATTTTGATTAATGTGCATATAAAATGTATATGCAGCTATAGCTATATAATATGCATGTTTGTCCATGGTTGGCATAAGATTTAGTCCATCACAGCTAGAGCAATAAGAATTCAGGGGGCTGGATTAGCTCAGGAGAAAGTATTCCTTTTTTGTCAGTTCCTCCTTAATGCATGCTTAATGGCATTCCTTATATACAAAATCTTAACTGGATGGTCCAGATATTTTATTTCAGTCAAAAAATAATTATGTAAAAATTAATGCTATCAGTCTTTCTTTAAGATTTTCCAAAATTGGCTGAGAAAGTTTTTGTAAGTTGTATAGATATAGATTACTTCATGAATATATTAGTGGCCTGGTTTTTGGAAAATCTTGAACTACTAGTAGAATACTGAAGAACGACAAGTGCTTTAGAAATAAACTTTGTATTTTGCTTATGATATGTGTTCAAGAGTTTTTATATATATATATATATATGAGGGGGTACGTCACAAAAGGGGTCTTGTGTCTAGTGGAAAAATCCAGTCTTCCAAAAGAAGCAATTAATTCACTGGCTGCATCAAAAGGGTCTTAATTCTTTAGCCTCCTTTTGTGCTGTCCCTTCTCATCATTGTCCTGACTGCAAGCAAGGTCATCAATCAACGTCAGCTTTTTTGATCAGTAATTTCGGCTTTTATTACCAAGAAAAAAGGAAACTTCGGGCCTTGCGTTCGGCTGTATTGTCCAGCTGCATGACGGTCAATGGGCGTTGTTGTGCGTCTGCCCAGCACCGGTCGATTCGCATCCTGCGTGCTGTGCATAGGCTAAGTTCAGGCCAAGATGAGAGGGTACATCACAAAAGTGGTCTTGTGTCTAGCGGGAAACTCCAGTCTTCCAAAAGAGGCAATTAATTCACTGGCTKCATCAAAAGGGTCTTAATTCTTTAGCCTCCTTTTGTGCTGTCCCTTCTCATATATATAATCAACCTGATCTGGTGTTTTGGTGAGAAACGCATCAAGTCTCATTTGGTCATAATTTCCATTTATCCTCTTGGTATAAAGCGAGAGATGCGTGGTTGTATTCCTGTCCCCTACCTCCCCTCCTTACTGAACAAAAATTTCTATCCCCTCCTTCCCCTCCCTAGTCATCAAAACACTAGCCCGGTTACTCAGCTCAGAACGTGAACGTGTCATGCAAAAATGGAAGGCCGAGAGAGTCGAACTCATATTTAGCCGATGAAACAAAACTGTTACTTTACCTAAATTAGTACGATCATGGAGGACATCACAAGGCTGTTCAGTCTCTGTGCTTGTATGCTGGCTGGTTGTTATGTGGCTGGGATGATTCCTTTGGCTTTTTCGCTCTCCGAGGTAGGAAAATCTTGTGTTGATAGATGCTAAATGTAGCAAAAAATCAATGAGCCTGTTGTTTATATTTGACTGTTACGTTTTGTATACAGTATATATCGTTTTCGAATTGTCATATGTTTGTTCTACTGGAAAAGATAACCTATTAGCGTGTACTTGCCTTGTCAAAATCAAAATCAGATGGGTTCGACAATCGTTCGACAACACTGACCCAATASTCCGAGCAGTTCATATAGGTGATCGCGACGGACTTGTCAGTGATATACTTTTTAACCRCACAAGAAGTATATGGATTATTATTACTGTGTGAAGTATAAACAAGAACGTTTTAAATGCGAGACAAATGTTTGGCCATGTTYGTCCAAAGATGATTTATCGCACTCATTTGATTGTGAGCATTATTGGCAAATTTATTCCTTTTCAATCTCATTATATTTGAATGTTTATTAATTTAAGCTTAAATTAGTTACTTCACAGTTGCTGACACGATTGAACATAAAGTTTTTAAATAAAATTCAATTAAAACGCGGCTTGACTCAAGAAATTGACCCCATGATAAATACCAAAACCGTTTTTTTAGCAAAACATTTTGTAGGGTACTATCGCTTTAAGTTCATAAAGAATATATGAAGCTTTGGTCGCAAGGTCTTGTCAGTAGGTGAATAGTCTTCTTCATGGTGTCCTGCACCATCTTTAAAAGATAAAGCATCTGAAGGTAGCAGTGCCTTCGCATCGAAGTGAGGTGAACATTGAGTGGGCAATAATAGAAACTTTATTTCACACCCACATACAATTATTCACCTTATAGGTATCTACCATTGCATGCTCAATGCCTTCTCGTACCCACATCCTTCTCACTTTCCCAACAAATAATCAAAAGCTCTGGTTGAAGAAGAGTGTGTCTTTAATTTGATTGGGACAAAAATTCCCATGCCCTATTAGTTAGCATATATAGTACAACCCAGATTCTAGGTCTTCCAGTATCGTCTCCAACCAGAGACTTTGATTTTCCATTGGGAAACTGAGGAGAATCTAGTATGAAAATGTGCTCAATGGTCCTCTCACTCACTTGCAAGGCTTTCAAGGGCGGTGCAGGGATCCATGAAGGAACTATTCATTTAGATTACGGAAAACTTGTTTTGGACAGGATTTTATCTCGAAAATATCTGAGTCAAATGAATCAKGTCTCAGATGGATTTTCATCTCTAATATGAATGAAATATTATTATTGAATGATTGTATATTATAATTAATTACAGAGGAGATTACGTATGGTCAGTGTACTTGGAGCTGGTTTACTAGTTGGGACTGCATTAGCTGTCATTATACCGGAAGGTGTTCACGCATTGTATGCACAGGAAACCCATGGTGAGCTATCATCATTTTGAATCACCTTTCTTTCATTTATAATTATTGATGTAGTACTCGACTAGTAGATATAAACCACAATTTATCATATGATTATCTATGAAATAACTATATTTCTCCATTTTGTAAAGTTGTTATTTTCACTGAAAATAACACATTTGAGATTTCTCTATATAGTGGAAGTGAGAAAAAAAGGTATTTTACGACATAATTTTCTTTCATATGTAATTACATGATAAACAGAATATTGCATTTTCACTTGGAGATACTAATTTTATGTTCTTGGTGACACTCGAAGATAAAATATGTATCTCCGTGCTCCCATGTAATATCCTCTATTTATCACTGAAGTTGTGTATTTTAGGTCATGGTGGACATGCAGGCCATGCTCACCGRCATCTTCATGCAGTAAAAGACATACCATCCAGTATGCATACATCTGTTGATAAGCAACCCCCAGCAGATCATCATGGTCATCTGCACTCCATAAAAGACAAYATTCCTACATTTGAACCAGATGTGTTTATTGGTTTATCATTGTGTTGTGGATTTATTTTTATGCTTCTTGTTGACCACATCAGTGGTGGACATTCCCATGGCCCTTCATCAGGTACTGATATCAACTATAAAATTGAAAGTAGACAGGAAAAAACATACAAACCCATGTAGAACAATGTTGTAGACACCGTGGTATTGCTGATAGTCCATTAGAGCAGATTTCATATGACTATAGTGCAAAATAATAGCACTTTTATATGGTTATCATGGCATGCTGTGGCAGGGATGTATTCTTGAATCAGTGTTTTCACATGGTATCACAGACAGGTCGCCATAACTGTACTGCGTCATGCCCATTTTGTGATCCATGCCTTTGTACTCTTACAAAATCCTCTCTATTAAAAGGTCTTTTAGACTGAGCAGTTTTAGAAGTTTCCACTGTCTTAAATTTGCAGCTCACTTTATTTCATTTCTTTGTGTAGATGCTGARAACAATTCTCGTCAAAAACATGGG